TCCCTGATTGGGAGCATAGATATTAATAAGTGTTATATCTTCTTGGTGCATGATTCTCTATATCATTATGAAGTATTGTTCAGTATCTTTATTCTTTATTCTTTTTATTCTGAAGACTATTTCATCCGATATTAGTACTGCTATTCCCACTCTTCTCTGAATGCCATTTGCTTGAAATATTATTTGTGCCCCTTCACTTTGAACCTATATTTGTTTTTGGAACTGAGATGTGTCTCCTGGAGCATATGGTTGGGTTTTGTTTTTTGATCTAATCTGCAACTCTGTGCCTTTTTATTGGTGAGTTCATTCCATTTACATTTAGGGTGATTATTGAAATATGAGGTCTTCTTATAGCCATTTTATCTTTTGCTTTCATTATGTATATGAAAAGGAGATGTATGTATATATATATACACATACATATATATCCATATATATATCTATATATACAGTCGTTCATTTTCTTCTGTGTGTGCCTTATCTCCATTCTCCTTTGTGAATTTAGATCTTTGAATCTTCCCCTTTTCAGTCATTGTTGTCTCAATTTGTCCCTTTGTATGCTGAACATTCATTACTATCTTGCTATAGTCAATCTCTTCTTATTTTAAGCTTATAATGCCCTGTTCCTAGTAAGGGTTTCACTCCTCTGCTTTTATCAGCCTACTAGTCACCTTACTTCTAATTATGTATTTTTCGTGTGTCATTTTGCTTTAGGTGAGCTTTCCCCTTTCAATATTTCTTGTAGTACAGGCCTCATAGTGTAGAATTCTCTTAATTTTTCTATGTCTGGAAAGGTCTTTATTTCTCCTTCATATCTAAAGGAGAACTTAGCTAGAAACATTATTCCTGGCTGGTAGTTCCTTTATTTTAATAGTTTGAATATTTGATTCCACTTCTATCTGGTTTGTAAATTTTGTGCTGAGACGTCTGACGATAATCTGATGGGTTTTCCTTTATAGGTTACTGTCTTCTTTTCCCTGGCTGCCCTGAGAATTCTCTTTGTTGATTTTTGATAATTTTAATACAATGTGTCTTGGTGAAGGCCTTTTTGGGTTGAGATAATTGGGTGTTCTGTTGACTTCTTGAATTCCGAGTTCCAGTTCATTCCTTAGATTTGGGAAATTCTTGTCCACTATTTGTCTGAAAATGCTTTCTAGTCCCTGCTTCTTTTCCTCACCTTCGGTAATGCCCATTATTACTATGTTTCCTCTCCTGATGATTTTTACTAGTTCTTGTATTTCTCTTTCATTATTTTTCATTCTTTGGTTACTCTCTTCATCCTTCTGATTTATTTCTAGATTTCTGTCTTCGATATCACTGATCCTTTCCTCCATTTGGTCGACTCTATTTCCCAAGCTTGCCATTTCATTTTTTAACTCTTGCAGTATGTTCTTTATCTCCAGAAGGTCTATTTGGTTCTTTTTGAGAGTTTCAATCTTTGCGTTTTTTTCAGAAATACCATCCTGAATTCTCTGTCTTTTAAATCACATATTTCTATGTCTATAAACTTATTTTCTGGAGATTTTTCTCTTTCTTTCTGAAATGCCTTTTCAGCTTGGTTGTTCATGGTGTTTAATGGACTATTTCTCTGCCTGGGCATTAACGGAAATGTGTTCTGCTTTTTTTTTTTCTAGAAAGAGGATTTATGATATAATCTTTCCTAGCCTATTGCAAAGAAGGTGTTTTACTTTTGGTTTCCAATAGATGGCGTCTAAGCATCTTGGATCTTGGCTTTATATAAAGTCTTAATAATGTCTTTTTTTTTTCTTGTAGATGCTCAATCACATTTGCTACCCTCAGTCTCAGTTCCTGTTAGTGTCAGAGACAGTTTCGGTAACGTTTGCTCAGATTCCCCTGGGGCTCCACACTGTTCGGTCTCGGAGAGTATGGGGAGAGGGGACTTCTGAGTTGGGGGGATGGGGTGTGCGGCTCAGCCTTGGTTTCGCAACCACAGCCGGTAATAATCAATTATTGTTTCTCTGCCGTCCATGCTTTTCTGCCATCTCTGTTTCTCTGCCTTCTGTCCTGATGACTGGGTATTATCACCAGCCACGTGGAACTCACAGCACTCCCAGGCAGGGCTGTTCAGGAAAGTCACAACACCTTCTCCCCTCCCCCTCCCCCTCCAGGGAGCTCCAGCGGCTGCGAGAGGTAGCTTCTTTGTTTCTCTTAGTCAACCTCCCGACACAGGTTTCTGACCTGTGGTAGCTCTTATGCACAGATCCCATGCTCAGATGTGCTGATGTGCAGTTTGGGTGTTTTTTGTTGAGTTTTAGATGTTTGGCTTATTGTTGTTTCAAGGAGAGAGATCTGGAGACATCTCTCACTCTGCCATGTTTAATCTAATCTCAAGATCACGAAATATTGTGGCAATGAATTCATACTTAAAAACTCGCTTGATTATATTGCTTTTTATCAAAAATATAATCATATATTTAGTATTATTTACTAGTTAATTATAAGATTTGAAATGTTTAACATTTTTTAAATTCGATTTAAAAAACTATTTTCCATGAGTAAAACTGTCCATAGCACATAAATGTAGATACTAATTTCATATATTTTTATCAGTGGCTTTTGAATTGTTTAATAGTTTAAATCTAATTTGTCTGTAAAGTTTGCAGTTCTCTCAATGTCAGTATCACTTTAATATCTCACTATGCAGAAAACAGTTGGAAAACAATAACTGCCTAGTAAATCAGTGTTAATCACTGACTGAAACATCAGCATTTTTTGTTGTGTTCATTTATGGCAACCAACACATAAATTTAGAATTAAATTTATTCTGAACGTATGCCCATATGAAGCTATTGATACATTAATGTACATATTTAAATATTCACAATTGTGACTTGTTTGTTTAAAATTTTTATTTAGATTTATCATTTCTCTACAGAAACAAGATAAGGAAAATTCTTACCAAATGAAAGGAAACTCTCATTTAAATGTTATGGTACTAACAAAAGTAAATGTTTCCTGATATAATAATTTTTAGATTTATTTTTTAAAAGGTATATTCTATAATCGTATGATTTGCTTTGTGCAATAGAAATTTAATTACATTCGAATTACATGTGCACAATACTATATACCAAATATTGTAGCCAGATATAGAGATTATCAGCACATTTCCCTTTCTAGATACTATAAAGTCATATTTTGGTGCTTATTAAAATATAAATATATGACTCTAGGTAATAGGGTACTATAATTTCTCCTAATTTTATCTTAAAGTCATGTACTGTTAAAGATAATGTTCTGATATGTACTGATAAAGGAATAGCTAAAGTTAATAAACTGCATTTTATGGTGGAAAAATATAACCAATAACAATATAAGAATGTGATTTAAATATTTGTCTTTTGATGTTTTTATTAAGATTGAAGCTTTGTGCATTTTAATATTTTGGAAATTTCTCCTATGATATTCAGACTTTCTCAATCTTATAAAAAGTTTCACATATATGCAGCATGTGGTTTTTACAGACATAACTATTATAAGTATTGGGTGTATAAACTGGACTATTATAATCAATGAGTACACAATTTACAATGCATGAGAGTCAGGAATATTTTGTTCATCTCATGTAATAAAGCCATTGCCTAGTGTTTAGTCCTGAACAGGAGTCCTATATATATATATTTTGAATAAAAAGAAAGATAAAAACATTGTTTTTGATGTTTTTGTATTGCTCCTTACTGAGATGCAAACAAGAAAACAGATAAACTATTTGGGGATCTAGAGTAAAAAAATAAATAAAAGCAAAATTTTTAAAATTTAAAAATGTATTAATCTCTAGCACACTTTTACATAGTTCTATAGATTGTTATGGTTTTCCTGGCCTTTATTGGACCAACTGAGGAAAATCGGGTTAAATTCAGGGACGTTTACCCAAAATGCAATTAGAAGGCCTCCAGTATCTGCAAGTTCTCTAAATTCATATCATTTTTGCTAATGTCATTATATATTTAGTTTTAATAGTAAAAGTGAATGAATAATTTTTATTCTGATTATTATATTTCACAGCATATGTTACATATCATTATATAGGGATGTTAAGAGAGAAGGAAGTGGACAGGATGTCGGAAAAGAAAAATGTATGTGTATAAGAGAATCACTGTTATAAAAAGGAGCAAACTCTGTTCCATATTGAGTCCTACGATGTCATTCAAAGTTCAAACTGGAGCCCTTAGGAAACCCATAGAGACTCCCCCAGCAGCCTCTAGCAGTCACCACTACTGAAACAGGCTGTGAGAACAGCACTGGCCTTAGCTCCAGAAAACACTGCTGTTAGGATATAAACACAGCATGTTTTCTAAGCCATTTGCAAAGAGGTTCTTTTGGTCATATGCATGAGAGAGCCCAGCAAAGTTTTAACTAGAAACATCTATGTACGGTTGAATAGAGCAGTTATAGCAAATATTTTGAAGAAGAAAACATTTTTTTTGTTTCAGGTTATTTCAATATATGAAAATGTCTCATAAAGTGAACCGACTCAATTCTTACCAAACTAGTTTGGGTCAGTATATAGGTGCAACTTTAGAAAAAAATTCTTTAATATGATATTTGTGCAATATTTGAGTTGTTTGAGAAGTTGTGCCATAATTAAGGAATGACATAAGTAAGGAATTGTGCTTAATAATATTACTTTTAACTCTGAATCCTAATAACTTTAAATAAACAGGTTATCTCATTTGTTCAATAACAACAAGGTTTAAGTATCATATACAGACCTAAAGGATTTTTTTTTATACCACTGGAAAATAATATCTAATTGATAAAAATCAGTGTTTAGAATCTCTAAATGACTTAGGTCTTTATGTTATTTACAGGTTACCTAAATGAGGTTTTTGATATGAATTAAATAACCAATAAACATAGATACATTTTATTTTAGTTTGTTTAACTTATTTCACCCCAGAGAGATAATTACCTAGAGTGAATAAATTCCTAACATTATGAAAGTAACACTAACTACTTATGGAATTTTTATGTTTTAGCATTAAAAAAAGGACGATTTTGGATCACACCAGATCCTTATCACAAAGATGACAACATCCAGATTGGGCGTGAGGTGAAAATATCTTGCCAAGTAGAAGCTGTCCCTTCTGAGGAGTTAACATTTAGTTGGTTTAAAAATGGTCGTCCATTACGAAGTTCTGAGCGGATGGTTATTACACAGACTGATCCAGATGTCTCCCCGGGAACCACAAACTTGGACATCATTGATTTAAAATTCACGGATTTTGGGACATACACATGTGTAGCATCTCTGAAGGGAGGAGGAATATCTGATATCAGTATTGATGTTAATATATCCAGCAGCACAGGTAAGAAGCATATTATGATGCAAAAGATGTTCACAGTGAGAATCATTCCTTAAATGGTTACCAGACGAAATAATCTTCAGTTGACCTAAGAACATTTTTGTTTTTAAAAAGTCTTCTAAAACCAAATACTAACCTTTTGAATGCCTAATAAATATCATGTTATGAGTCATTGCTACTTCTATTCAATTTAGATTTAAACAAGATTTTACAGAAATAATGCAAATAAAATTAAATAATATTGACTACGATAGATGTTGGCTTCCTGGTAAATAGTGCCAGTTTGTTTGTTTGTTTGTTTTATTAACTAGAAAACTTCTTTACAGTCTGAAATTATATTAATTAATAAAGTTAAACAACAAATGTCTAAAGAGTTAAGACAATTTTCATAGATTTTAAACAGGAGAAATTAATTCTTAGATGAAAATATTAAAAGAATATATAAGAATATTCAAATATAAGATATAGAAAAAATGTGTTTTCTACCAACAAAAACTAATGATAAAGTTGTTAAAGTTGTAATCAGATGTGACTTTTTGAAGAACCTTATGATAGAATCTCTTCACAATGAGAATGGTTAAATATAAAAATATACTAGAGTGAAATTCTTTTGGGGAGGATTAAAAAATGAAAATATGTTATCAATTTCTCTCAATTAAAAGTACATCTGTAAATGAGGAAAATTATAGAACTTTTATATGGAAGGACACATTAGCTTAACTCTTAGGATATCTATTTTAAAGCCTTGTGA